AATTCTCCGTGGCTAACTTAGGAGAAACAGGTGGGGTCATTGTCTCTGTTGGCCATGACCAGTGTGAAAAGGACAGGGGTGGTTTTGGCTACTATCCCTGCCATACTCACCCACTCATTTGGGGGAAATTATAGTTTTCAAATGTTTCATCATGTGACAGTTTATTAATAGTTACCAGATCCTTGGACAACTGTAGAGGAAGTGATCCTCTTGTACATATCATTAAAGTGTCTACAATAGAAATGAAGTCTTTGCGGTGCCCAGATACAAGCCATGTGAAGCATAGCTACTGTCTGAATCATGGCCTTTGAAATACTTGGAATTTGAAGAACAGGATATGCGGTTTATATTATAACTAATTTTGAAGCAATATATGATAAAGTATTTTTCCCATCTGTTTTGTAAACTCTGAGTGTGTTCAAAGTTGAAAGCAAAGGACAAAAGCTTCCTTTGCTCATGACCTCATATTCCAATGTGTTTTTCTGAAATTGCCAGTATTTTCTAACCAATGCCTTTGTTTTTTTATTGGTTATCAAACATTATTTTGGTATTATTTATATATGAAAAGACTTTAAAAGACTGTAGTATAATTTTATTATATTAAGTAAGAAAACATAATTATACAGCTAAAATATACCTTTATTTCTATTTGTATATGGTTTGTCACAAATTACAGGATGTGGAGCTTGTTTTAAATCAAGGACAGATGTTGAGTAAAAGCTTCTGACTGGAAGGATCTGAAACATGATTAAATAGAATAGCCAAAGCCCCAGTCAAATGCGTTGTGGGTGTGTGTGTGGGGGGGGGGGATAAGAGAACTACGTAATAATTGAGCCTCAGATTCAAAAACAAAATTTTCCCAGAAGTGGTGCCATTTTCATCAGGAACAATAGTAAGAACTTATATGATGAATACAGACAGATTTTCCTATAAAACATAGACCACAACTGCTAATTTTTTTCAAAGAGCCATTCATGTTATAATTCCAAATTTGTAATGTATTCCTTTAAAAGTTTAAGACACAAGTTTCTCTTAAAAACTGGGATAGGAGGGAATGGTGGTGGTTGTCATGGTTACACTAAAAGCTTTAAAAACCAGAAAACATTGCGTCACATCTAGACAAGTTCCTCTGTATCATGCCCTGTCCCTGTCTGTGACTGATGACTTTGTTCGGTATTAGAATCGTACTGCAGGTGTGGGCACACAGCTCTGTAACCCCAGCTGCTGGGCAACAAGGCCAGCCCGGGCTCCCCACAATCCTGACTGGAAAATGAATGAGTGCAATTGGGCTTTGTTTTTTAAGATGGGATATGGTTCAGTGGCAGAGTGCTCAGCACTGTGAGCCCATAGGTTCAGTCCCTAGTACCATACCTACGTACGATGAAACGCACTTTCATACTTCCTGTTTCGTACTATACTATGGATTCCTAACAGTTTTTGAAAATGTTTCAAAAGAAACTTTTCTCTTTTTCTGTGCTGTATTTTTTTTTTAATTGACACTCTACAATGCCTGGGCAGGCGTTTGAATTCCACGCCTAAATGACCCCCCTGCCTCAGCCAAGTAGCTATAGGCATGTTTCACCACTCCTAGGTGTTTAAGGAGTTCCAAAGTGAGCTGAGCAGTGGTGGCACACACCTTTAATCCCAGCTCTCGGGGAGACAGATTGGTGGATCTCCAGGAGTTCAAGGTCAGCCTGGTCTACAGAACAAGTTCTGGGACAGGCTCCAAAAGCTTCAGAGAAAGCCTGTCTCAAAAACCCAAAAACAAAACAAAATTGTTGTCTGTTTAACTTATTTAGAACTGTCTAACCTTGCTTTCTTTGTTCATTAAAGGAGGAATCAAGATGTGGTTCCTAATTTAAGTAAAGTGTAGAGGATACATCACTGGAAATGGGTAATAAAGTGAAACCACTCTCATGGTAGAGAATCAGTGAATCCACAGCGGGTACTGCTGTGGGAGGGTCTTCTGTTTTGTGTTGATTTCATTGGTAAATAAAGAAACTGCCTTGGCCATTTGATAGGCCAGCCCTTAGGTGGATGGAGTAGACAGAACAGAATGCTGGGAGGAAGAGGGAAGTGAGGCAATCGCCATGCCTCTCCTCTCTGGGTCAGACGCAATGGAGCCAGCCGCCAGGTCAGACATGCTGAACTTTCCCGGTAAGCCACCACTTTATGGTGCTACACAGATTATTAGAGATGGGTTAAGCAAGATGTGAGAATTAGCCAATAAGAGACTGAAACTAATGGGCCAGGAGTGTTTAAATGAATACGATTTGTGTGTTGTTATTTCCGGGGCAAAGCTAGCCATGTGGGAGCCAGGCAGGATGAAAAGCAGGCCTGCTCACCTCATCACTACAGGGTGCTGTAGAGATTTTATTTGTTATTTTACTAAAAATAGAGTGTGTCTGAAGATCAAAGTGCAAGGCTAGCCACACTAGTCAGTCGTAGAGGCTAGGCAGTGGTGGCACACACCTTTAATCCCAGCAGCCACACTAGTTAGCTATGGAGGCCAGGTGTGGAGGTGCTTGCCTTTAATCCCAACACTAGAGAGGAATATAAGATGGAAGGAGACAGGAACTTGCTCAATTTCAGTCAGAAGATTTCATAGAGGTAAGAGCTCTTTAGTAGCTTGGCTGCTTTGCTTTTCTGGTCTTCATCTTGAACCCCAATATCTGTCTCTGGGGTTAATTGGCATTAGCAAATGCTGAACTTCAAACAATAGTAGTCAAGCAGATGGGCTGGCAGTTATACGCTAAAGTGATGGCAAGTCTGAGCCAAAGATGCGGGTTTGAGAAAATAGGTTGTTCCTCTCTCCAAGGAAGTGTATTGACTAAGGGAGGAGAAGAGGAGCAAACCTCTTACCAGTTATATTAGAGACTGAGGAGGAAATGAAAGCAAATGGTTGGCAAGGAACTAGAGAGATTAGAAATAGCAGTGCAGCATTTTCTAATGTAAGGAAAAAAAATTTAAGTGGTAAAAGAAGAAAGCAGAGCAAATTAAAACTAAAAAAAAAAAAAAAAAAAAAAAAAAAAAAAAAAAAAAAAAAAANAAAAAACAAAGCAACAGCAACAACAACAAAAGAAATCCCTGATTTTTTGATTCGGCATGGAAGAAGAGGTTCTTAGACTATGATAGGCAGAATATTTCCTAAAGGAGATCACATCTTCTCCAGAATCTGAACATGTCATGGTACGTGGCAAGGTGTGTATATGGGGGGGGTTAAGATTTGGGGTGAAATTTAAGTTACAAATCAGGTCTGCAGAATGTGACATCCTGTTTTATCTGGGTGTGCCCAGGTCATCACAGGATGTTAAGATGGAAGAAGGAGGAAGTTTCCGTTTCCGAAGATGTGGTGTGAGAGCCTTGACCAGCTTTTGCTCGTTCTCAAGATGGGCTGTATCACCTGTCTTGTCCCTGACAGGAGGAGCATAGGAAGGGTTTATTCTCACATTTGAGATCATTGCGGTGGCACAGGCATGGGAGCAGAGGGGCCAGGAGGCACCTGAGTGAGAATCTGGTGCCAGAAACGGGTGGGGTAACAAGGCCTGTGTGAGAGGCACCCATTCCCCCCAGTTCTGGTGGGAGGCTGGATGGTGTCTGGCCTTGGGTAGACTTGTTCAGGGTCTGTGCAATATGGCACTGAACAGGAAAGGACAGCAGTGGACAGATAACAGACGTGCTCTCTCTTTGAGTAACAGTTCAATTGTTACTATAGCAACACAAAATGGAAGCTATTAATAGCTAAGTCCTTGTGTGTCAGATACTGTTGTACCTTCCTATGTATTCCTTATCAGGACTAGATGAATGTAATTCTCATGAGTTTCTGGTGTAGACACCCTGATCTACAGACGGAGACCATAAGGCCCCACGGGTCTCCTTGTCCAAGGTCACACCAGGGCAGAGCGGACCAGAAATGGATGAGATTTTCTACAGTAGTGTCAACTGGGGTCATTTTCCATCCTTTCTGAGAAATTGCAATTGAGAAGTTACAGAACTTTTAAATGACTAATACAAGAAACCGTTCCTATCCTTGCTTAGAGTCAAAATGATGCCCTCACCTAGAGGCTCTTTGCAGTTGATAGCGGCTGGGAAAGAGACCAGTTTTCTCCAGATGACACCAACCGCAAGAGTAGTTGGCTAACACAAAGCAGGACACCATATGTTTTGTGTGCTTTTCGTCATGATCTTGTTTGGCACATTTGTTTTTACTGAGATTTTTATTTTGTTTTGATTCTTTTGGGCTTTGTTTTTGTATTGAGAAATAAAATGAAACTGGGTAGGTAGGGAGGTAGGGAGGTGGGGAGGATCTGGGAAGACTTGAGGAAGAGGAAAAAAATATAATCGGAATGTATGAAAAACATAATTTAAAAAGTTTTCGGTGTGTGTTTACATGGTGTGGTATCCTTTAGAAGTCGTAGGCATCACATTTCTTAATCTTTTTTTTTTAAATAATCAGATAAATAGTGTACAGAAATTCTTTGAGATGTTTACTTGCACGGGACTCATTTTTAAGAGGAGAGGATAGTTGATGTGTAGAAGAGTGACGTTAGATTAATTACCTAATTGCAGTAGATTATCTTTTGCCTGTTGTTAGATAACCACAAAAGTATCATGCAAAGGGCCCCTTGTAAACTTGTGTGGTTATTCTTTTGCATTTACTGTATTTGATTAAGTACTCAAGCGATTCTCGATTTCGCTTCTCACGCATGTGCATGACGGCATTATAAGCCAGTTCCTAAACCAGGCCATAACGGAGCAAGAGGAAGCAAGGGAGGCGGGACCGGAAGGAGGGGTGGTCGCGGGATCTGGCCTGCGGCCCGCGGCCCGGTGGATGCTGGGAACTGTAGTTCCGTGCCGCAAGGTATTCCTGAGCAGGGCCCGGGAAGAGCCTGACTGGCTCCCTGAAGCCGCTGGGGCGGCTTCGCCGGGACGCACTTCCGCGACCGCGGAGGGAGGCGCGGCCAGAGGCTGCTCCGAGTGGGCGAGCAGGGTGCTCGGGCCGTGAGGACCCGGTAGGTGTGGTCAGGGACGCTCCGTCTCGGAGTCTTGTGCAAGTTGTTGAGGGTGTCGTGTGGAACGGCCCAAGTGGCGGCGAGCCGGCATTTTAAACGCTGCCCACACGCGCGGCTGGGGAAACTGGCTGAGGAGGTATTTGGTCGAGCGCTAAAACATTTTCATCCCTTCCGAGGAGCATGGAAATGCGGGGCCGCGCTGCTGGGGAGGCGGGGGGCGGGGGGGGCGGGGGTGGAGGCGCGAGCTGCGGTTGCTATTTTCGCGGCGGCGGCTGACGCGCCCGGTTGTGTAACGCTGACCCGCGGCGGTTCCCACGCACCGCGAGCGCGTGTGGCGGGCTCGCCCCATTGGCTGCGCGCAGCCGCCCCTTTCCCTGCGCGGCCGCTCGGGGTCTCCCGAGGACGCGGCTCCACCGGGGGAGGGGAGGGACAGTCCCCGCAGCACACCCCTGCCACCCTCGGTGACCGCCCTGGAAGAGGTCTCCAGGGGTCCCGGTGGTGTCATTGACGTCAGATGGGCCCTTCGGATTGCGGAGCAGTCAAGCTTGCACGCTTGGTATCAGTTCAACAATCGTAGACGGGAGTGGGGAGGGGAACCTTGACCCAAGTCAGCACCCAGCCACATCCTGGCGTAATTACTGGAATGCGACCAGTGATAAACGCCTCGACCCAGGAAGCTGGCGGGCGTTTATGAGTTTTCACTCAGCCTACCTGTTTGAGCTAAGTAGTATTTAAAGAGGAAGTCACTCCTGTTTAGAGGTAGGGAAACTTCCTGAAATGGCAGGATGAGCCAAGGATGATAGCTTAAGGCATAAACTAAAAAAGAACATTCTGTTCGCAAATTTCACGATGGACAATGCAGATCCGTTTCATCTGGTTTTATTGTGAGCACCATTTTTTTTGTTGTTGTTGTTTTTTGTTTTTCCGAGACAGGGTTTCTCTGTGGTTTTGGAGCCTGTCCTGGAACTAGCTCTTGTAGACCAGGCTGGTCTCGAACCTACAGAGATCTGCCTGCCTCTGCCTCCCGAGTGAAATGGCAGGTTGAGCTAAGGATGATAGCTTAAGGCATAAACTAAAAAGAACATTCCGGTTGCAAATTTCACGATGAACAGTGCAGATCCGTTTCGTCTGGTTTTATTGTGAGCACCGTTTTTTAAAACACTTTAAAAACGATGCATTTCTTTCCGTTCCAAGACAGTTGTATAGTTTCTTCATCGTTCTCATTATTTCATGATAGCTGTGAACTGAATCTTAGGGAAAAAAAGCCATTAATTTTTTTTCATAGATTACTAACCCAGTAAAGTGATTTTTATTTTTAGCCTTAATTATCCTGAACTTTCAAATCACAAAGCGAGTGTTATTTTTCTTTTGGGACTCACATCTAACAGCGGCTATAAGAATCGATCACCTGTGTTGTTTTTGTTTGCTGTGTAGTGTCGCTGGTGATTGAACCTAGGGCTTTCTACATGGTGGGCGAGCATCCTAGCACTGAGCTACATTCTCAACCTTACACTCTCCTTTTGAAAAACGTATTGCTTGCCTTTAGTGATGTAGCATTTGATTAAGTCTAGATGATTGCTATTTTTTTTTCTACTGCTCTGTGAATTAGTTTCTAGAGAAGTGCTGTAGTAATTTGGAGCTTTTCCTGTTTCCGTAGGCCCACATTATCTCTGCTTTGTGTGCAGCTGTGCGCCTGTTTCATCTGATTCTGGAGGAGCAGGCACACTAACAGGTGAGCGTTTCCTTTGCTTATATAACGCCTTCCTCCTTCTGCTGTCTCAGCCGGGAGCAGTGATTTTCTTCAACAAAATAGCAGTATAGAACCCTTGTGGTACAGGGATGGGTGGTTCCGGTTTTTCCAAGAAAACCCAAATTATAGATAGAACGGATGGCCATTGTTAACATCAAGAATTTAGTGACTATGAGACATACATTCTTTTGAAGTGATTCCTTGCAGTTGTCCCTGAAAAAAACATTATAATGGATTCGTGAATTCCCAAAGCTCTTAGCCACTGTTTTGCATCAGCCTTCTTTGAACTCTCTTCAAAGCAAGAGAAAACATCCTTTTGAAAATATTTTTTATTCCGGGTGATATCATTGATAACATTTGTGTACCAGATGTCCTTCTCTGAAAGTCCCTCTGGCACGGGTGACAGATGTGGAGTGGTAGTTTTGGAACAGAGTATTTTCTTTGGTCAGTAACCACTCCAGAACTGTCACCATTGCTAGGGAAATGTTTTTTGTTTTTCATTTTACAAAATTAGAGACTTTCGGCCACTAAGGAGCAGGAAACAAGCACTCTAGAAGCAGCCCGAGCGCCTCCGGGAGCAGGGTGTGGTGACTTGTCCCGAGTGAAGTGAGCGGAACTTACACTAAACCAAGGCTGTCATTTTCCCTGTAGCCCAGCTAGACACGTATGGATAGCTATGCGTTTCCTCCTCCAGTCAGCGAGTAATAGACTTCCTCCCGTGTGCCTGTAGCAAACACCAGGGACAGAGCCAGGATCTCTGGCCTGAAGTTCGGTAGTCTGTAGGAAAGAAGAGTATGTAAGCCAGGAGTGGTGGGTATTCTCACCGCTGCTGAAGAGAAAGTCAGGGAGTGCTGCTCACATCCTGCATCCAGGGATGGAGGAAGGCTGGAGTTCAGAAAGCGAGAGGGTTAGGTAGGTTTCCCTCACAAGATGACTGACATCAGGTAAACAAAGGGTAGGCAGGGACTGACTACTCAAGGTCTTAGAGCTTTGGAGAGCTGGCTTAGCAGTTTAGAGCACTGGCTGCTCTTGAGAGGACCTGGTTTGGTTCCCAGCACCTACACGGCAGCTCACAACCAGCTGTAACTCCAGGTGCACCCTCTTCTGGCCTTGGCAGATACTGTTTGCCGGTGGGGCATACATGCAGGCAAAACATCCATACACAGCAAATGAAAATAAAGCTTTTAAAAAGTGTGGAGGATTAGCATGTGGCCAAGCTCTTAATTAAATTCAGAAGTGGGGAATTTGGACAGGTGAACGGAAAGGCAGAGTGATTGCACAGACTGTGATTGCATAAGGTGAGAGTCGCCTAGGAGAGGCCGAGAACTGGAGTGAAAGCTGGGTGGTGTACACTGTGGGAAGGTTTGACTCAGCGTCTTTATTATTCAGGAAAGCGGAAGCTACTGAGAGGAAAGAAATGAAGCCACAGTCGGATCTAAGTCTCAAGGAAAAGTATTCTGGGTGTTGAGCTGATTGACAAAGCACAAGAGTAGAAATCTTTCTCCTCTCTCACACATGAAGAGTCCTAATCTGGAAGGCAGCAGTATTTTCAGTTTTCAAGCGAAATATATCCTTTTCCCATCGCCCTGTAAAATGTTATCTCAAGTGGAGTAAGACATCAGATTGTAGATACATAGAGTCAATAACAGGACAAAAAGTGAAACCACCGAAGGAAGCTGTGAGATGCTCGACATTAACTTCAGCACTGGGGTTGAGGCTGAAGACTGGAGATTGCTCATGTTCTGCTCCAGAAACACTTTTTATGGTATCTTCGTTGACTCCGTTTAAAACTTTTAGTCCTTGCTGTCTCACCATGGCAAGCTCAGAGAACTGTTGCAAAACTTACGTTGACTTGAAGCAGGGTGTGGTTCAGTACGCCAGGACTGCAGTAAATGTGGCTCTGGCCATCTTCCTTAGTGTGGTTTGTAGGCTGAGGGTTACAGGAGAGAATTAATAACTGCATATACTGATCCTGTTCCCCATCTTCATTAGTGTGGTTTGTAGGCTAGGGGTTACAGGAGAGGATTAATAATTGCATATACTGATCCTGTTCCCCCTACCTTCATTAGTGTGGTTTGTAGGCTGAGGGTTACAGGAGAGGATTAATAACTGCATATACTGATCCTGTTCCTCGTTGCCTTTGGGTTGCAGGAATCGGTGACACAGGACACTATTTGGAGAGATACTGATTACTTTGAAATTGTAAGTATTTGTTCCCATTTCTGGAGGCAGGGATGGAACTGTGGTTGAGTGAAGAGTTTGAGAGGAGTAGCTGAAGGAGTCTTGGAGCTTTAGAAGAAACAGGAATAACCTCCTTCTTATTGCTCAGTCTTTCTCTAACCCAGGGCAATAACTTTTTAATAAATGGTTTGCTGGCTCATGTTGCTTAATATATAACAACGTTCACGTAATACACAGCGATTATGCAGTTGATTAACCGTCAGTATTTTGAGTTTGTATGGGGCAGCATATTTTATTAGCACACTAGACTGGGTGTCTTCGCAGGGTGTCTTCCGTGTGTGTCACGTGCAACAAAAGACATTTGTTGACAAGTCATAGCCATTTCTTTGTCTAGCCCACATCTGTGAACTACTTTATACGGTCTGGGTACAGGGCCCACTGTGCATTCATATAACCCTGGGATGAATTGTATGCCTGGCGCTATGCATGTACTCATCGTATATGGGGGAAACAGGGCAAAACACTCCTGGAACCGAATTCTGGAGCTTGGCAGCAGTAAGCATTCCTAATGCAAGCATTCTCAAACCTGCACCAAAGTGTTCATCCTTTGTGCTAAAATTAAGTAAGAGAGGAGGTTTTTTTTTTTTAACCTGTATGAAAACTAAACTATAATTTGTCATTTTATTCTGAAAATGACAGAAGGCAGCACAGGTAGTAGCTAGTAACTCCGAGAAACTTAGAACCGCTCTCTTTACTCTAAGTTAAGGCCATCCATGGCCAAACTCGATTTTCATATTATACACTTAATGTGTTACTATTTGAATACACAGGCATAGAATTTCTGCTAGTAAAACTGTTATAACTTATGCATGTAGCATAGTTTTCTAAAGAACGTTGTACCTGCTTGCTCAGACACGTGCTAACCTAGTTTCTTAGCGTTTTGTCACGGTTATCTTTCTGATCCTGGCTTCTGGGAATGTTCTCGTGCCATCTCAGTAGAGAATATTGGCTTTTGGAAAAGATAATGGATTCTGTGAGCACCATGATAATGTATCAGAAATAAAAGTTACTCTCAACTTCACCCCCTTCACCTTGCTTTAAATAACAAGAAAAGGAAATGTAGCCATGAGAATTTGTCTGCTCTGTGGCCTCCTTGGAAAATATATTTGAGTAGTGCTTTGAGATACATTGCAAACGCTCAAAAAAAAAAATTAAATCTGAATCAGATACTGGTTTATATAGTTAATTGTACCTGAGAAAAGAATACAGCCTACTACTTTGAGAAGCAAGAAAAGGCTTGCTGTTGTTTCTGTTACAATAGCATCAGCAGAGAGAGGTGTTCTACTTCAGAATCTCCACTGATTGTCCACAAACGTTAATAGCTCTGTAACCACCGAGTCTAGAGATTTCCCTGAAAAGCACTTGGTTCAAATTGAATCAGCCAGAAGGTGGGTGACCAGGAACCCAGGACTTTGTTCTCCTGTTCTGCTTGCCTGATTTCCCTGGAGATGCGCTCATTCCACTTGTAATAATTTCCTGACGTGTCGAATTATAGCAGTGAGATGTGTTATCCTTTCCCTCATTGAGCATTCGCTCAGCACACCTTGCTCAAAGCTCTCCGGGTGTGCCGAGTCCTGAGCACGGTCACACTCAAAGGCTTCACACACCGCATCCCCCTTTTCTAAGCATTTGCTGTTACACGAACACATCGGATCCCTGGGGGAACCTGTGAGGACACTGCTTTCGTACCCATTTTGCGGATGCAGACTAAAGGCACAGGGAGTGTCTGTCCATCTTGTGTGGCCCAGAGTCAGCTCTTAACAGCCTGCTGTTCTGCCATGCTTTCTCCGTACCTTTGCAGACCCCTTCCTCCCCTGCTGCCCGAGTCTCGCTGTGTGTCTGCTGGGGCGCTTACGCTCAGTCTCTAGCGCTTGTAGCCGGCTGATTGTTGAGTGTTCTAGCTCCTGCTGAAATTGACTTCTTCGTGCTTAATGTCTGCTTTGTCATTGGACACCTCATGTGCAGCCTGGCCCATGTATGTGTGCCAAATGGATATTAGCAGCAAAGAAAATTTTAGGTGTGATGTTACTCAAGTTAATTTTGAAAGAAAAAACGATTGTGGCCAAAACTTTTAGTTGTTGTGTGACACAGTGATGACAAAGTGTGTGTGTGTGTGGGGGGGTGCACATGTGCGTGTGTGTGTGCACGTGCATGTGTGTGTGTGCGCGCGCGCATGTGCGTGTGTGTGTGTGCGCGCGCATGTGCGTGTGTGTGCGTGTGTGTGCGCGCGCGCATGTGTGTGTGTGTGCGCGCATGTGTGTGTGTGCGCGTGCGCCTGACCTGGGACACATACTGATGTGCATTCCTGTTGTACAGGGAGGAGATGAAGTTACATCTCCCTCCCTCCCTCCCTCTTTTCTTCCTCTTTTTCTTTTCAGAGGGGTGGGGTGGGGTCTGGTTTAGGACTCACCATAGAGACCAGGCTAGTCTCAGACTTACTGCAGTCCTCCTGCCTCAGAAGGACTTGGATCAGAGGCAGGAGCCGGCAAGCTTTGCAGAACTGATGCTGCCGGGCGGTGGCCCTTGTAGCTCTGCTCTCTCCTGCTGTGTCTGATCTGCCCCCTGTGTCACCCCTAGTTTGACCGTACTGTTCACGCCAACCTGCCATGGGCTGCCGAGATGTGCACGCGGCCACCGTGCTCTCCTTCCTGTGTGGCATTGCCTCTGTGGCAGGCCTCTTCGCGGGGACTCTGCTTCCCAACTGGAGGAAACTGAGACTCATCACGTTCAACAGAAACGAGAAGAACCTGACCGTGTACACCGGCCTGTGGGTGAAGTGTGTCCGGTACGATGGAAGCAGTGACTGCCTGATGTATGACCGCACCTGGTACCTCTCTGTGGACCAGCTGGACCTGCGTGTCCTCCAGTTTGCCCTGCCTCTCAGCATCCTGATCGCAATGGGTGCCTTGCTGCTCTGTCTGATTGGAATGTGTAACACGGCCTTCAACTCCTCGGTGCCTAACATCAAACTGGCCAAGTGTCTGGTCAATAGTGCAGGCTGCCATCTGGTGTCTGGACTCCTGTTTTTCCTGGCCGGCACCGTGAGCCTCTCCCCATCCATCTGGGCCATCTTTTATAACACTCATCTCAACAGGAAGTTTGAGCCGGTCTTTGCCTTTGACTATGCGGTGTTTGTCACTATTGCTAGCTCGGGGGGTCTGTTTATGACGGCTCTTCTTCTGTTCATTTGGTACTGCGCGTGCAAATCTCTGTCCTCGCCCTTCTGGCAGCCGCTGTACTCCCATCCTCCCAGTATGCACACTTACTCTCAGCCCTACTCATCGCGCTCCCGCCTCTCCGCCATAGAAATCGACATCCCAGTAGTTTCACATAGCACTTAACAGAGATAGTGTTAACCGTCACAAGTCCCTGTCGTGGCCTCACAGTCCTCTAGCGTAAGGAGCCTTTTTGGACCTGTATACTTTTTTCCTTTGTTCTTGACTAGTCAGTGGAGCCAAATTTATATATCTTGGTAGAATGAAATGCTGCTAGATTTTATGAGGTCTGTATTACGTTCTTCTAAATGTGAAACATTCCTTCTATCTTGCTTCTAGTCCTAGAAGGGGATTTAGCCTCCCGTTGATGTCTGTGACGGAACAGCACGGTGAGACACAGTGCTGTTGTGCTTGATCCTTGCGGTATTTCAGATCCTGTTTGTCTCTGATGACTTAAACCGAGAAGAGCAGTTAAGTACAAGGAATTTCAGTCAGGAGAGGATTGCAGTTGTCTCCAGGACTCTGCCAGCTCGAGGGTATAATTTTGTTCTCTCTTAGGACTAATTGCATAGGCGCCAGTATACTGAAGATTACTATCTTCTACCTCGTGTCAGTGGAAAGTGATATGCATTTTAAATGATGTCAGAGTGAGGTTAACATTTGACTTCTTTTTGGCTTTCAGACAGACTCTTGCTCTCTCTAGACCAGGCTGCCCTCAGACTTTTCACCGTCCTCTTGTCTGCCTCCTGAGCAATGACTGCAGGCATGCCCACCCATATCTAGCGCACCAGAATTTTTAGTTAGAGTTATATTGTTGGAGTTGAAATGTGCCAAGTGACAGGAAAGATAAAATCCTTTCCAGATTCCCATCAGTCAGGTAGTCCTCATGCCCTGTACAAGCTTAGCGGCTAAGACAAGTGAGCAAAAGGTTGTTGAAGCCAAATGGTTGCCTTTGAGACCTACATGGCCGGGCTCAGGAGCCAGTTCTTTGTGACGGCATAAGAGTCACGTGGTGGCTCCTGTGTCAATGAGTGATGTGCGTGGTGGCAGCTGGACCGCTCAGCTCCTGCTCCCTTTCTCCCAGCCGGCCTTTAGTCTGCCTCGCGCTGGGGTAGTGCGCTAGAGGACCCACAAAGGAGGATGTAGCTACATCTGTGGAAATTCCAATCTAATACAGATCAGACTGATAACTGACAACCAGCCGAAAGGCTGCTCTTCCTGGCAGCTGGTGGACTTCTCAAGCGTTGATCCAGGAAAATATTTCAGCTGAGCCGTGCCTTCCTGGCACAGCCAGCCTATGGCACACCAGCAGCAATGTCCTGGACACAGATTGACAGCTGTGATAACAGTTTCAGATAAGGAGAACGGGAAGGCAGTGGAGAGATTAAACGGTGCCCTTTCTACCTCGGAGATTAAGATGATGCATTAGAGAGAGACGGGTTGTAAAAATGTCTCCTGATGTGCTATCAAGTGGAAGAAAGCACATTGATACTGAAGTAACACTAAGTGACATTAAGAGTTGTTGGTCTTAACTCTTGGCGGTTTGAGCTGCTCAACTGGTATACTTTCAGTGTACTAGCACTGTGTAAGGATTGTGGTATATTATACTTGCAGATTTTTACAAGCGGCTGATTTTGTGATAAACAGTTCATGACGCCTCTTTTGCAAATCTGAGTGTTTCTATAGAGATGTGTAGTAGTTTTCCCTAAGTCCAGCACTACTTCATGTAGGCAAGTAAAGCCGATTGTATAATTTCTAAATGCTGTCATTACAAAGCATGCACATCTATGGTTTTTTAAATTATCGCTTTGAATCTTTATCACCTCTGGTTCTTCTCATTCATAGATATAGCTAAGTATTGATCATTCCAAGACAATGGCAGCTCAATTTCGAGATTCGTATTAGTTTTTCTCCTTTGTTAGTTAGTCTTAGTTTTTCTCTCACTAAACTGTTGTTCAAAAGGGCCAAGAATTCCACCATCCCTTGGTTGTAGTATAAAGAGTTAAAAGTAGGGCCAGGCATGGTGGCTTTTGACATTAATTCCAGTACTCAGGAGGCAGAGACAGGTGCATCTCTCTGGACATCCTGGTCTCCATAGCAAGTTCCAAGCTGGTCTGAGGTATACAGTGAGACACTGTCTCAAAAAACTTAAAAAAGAGGAAAAGAAAGCAAGCGGACTGACTCACTCAGCAGTGAGAACACATTTGCGGCTCCCAGGGTTGCACTGCAAACGTGAAGCTTTCTTAGCAGAGTCTCTGGCATCATTATCTATAGCCTCCAATTAGTATTTGTTATGAATTCACTCAGGAAGAGAAACAGCTGTTTCTATTGTCATTTTGGTGCGGCAGGTTTGGCATAAATAGCTATTTTGTAAAGCCATCAAAGGAAAGCATGCACTCACAGTCCTTCCAGCCCCTTGAGCACTCCTGGGGCCATGTGAGATAGGGTGGATAACTTCTTTCGTTGTTTAAAAGCTGTTCATTTTAAAGGCCTTCTAAGGAGCCAGCTTGGTCCACAGCCTCAAATGTGAGATGGGACACCCGGCTTGTGTTGTCCAGCTTCAGAAAAGAATCAATTCACTCTGCTCGTCTATGTGCCCTGTGATGGCTAGTGTGTGCTGTAAACCACACGGTAAAAACCTCAGTGGGCGTGGTGTGCTGCCTCATGGTTATTAAAAGATGTATTTTTACAAGTTTGTCTCTGTTCTTTTCTCAGTTTTAAGGTAAAACATTTTGAGAAATGTTTTTCCAGTATATGTCAGTGAAATTAAGGCCTCCTAAAGACTGTGGACTAGGATCTAGAAGTAGGGAGTCACGAGCATCCCGGCTAGTGATACTAAAACGTACTAATCTGCACTCAGTTCCACAGACTCGCCCAAGGTGAGCAAGTGCTAGAGAGCATTTTATGCTAACCAGATCACAGGAGTCTGGGTTTTAGCCAGAAGTAAGAATACACATCATTGCATCTGTTATCAGGATGTGCTAGGGTCTCTTGAAAAACAGCTATTTCAGTGTTGAGGCTAGAAAAATGCAGAAGGAGCCCAGCACACCTGCTGTGAGCGCCCTGAGGGTGCATTTAGTTACATAGCAGCCAAGTCGAGGAGCTCCCACTAGGCAAATCTGAAACCCTGAGCTTCACAGTGAATAATAGTCAGGAGTTTGTGGCCCACTGAGTAGAGTCAGCTATATGATCACACCGATAGAAATGGCAAGAAGTTACTTCTTACAGTTAAAAAGAAAGGTATAAAAAATCATTGATAAATCAAGATCTGGCACCAACATCTTTTAAGTGGGGTTTTCTTCCCCAATGCTTTTTATGTATATAGAGAATGTCTTGCGTGCCTGGAGCCTTCAGAGGCCAAAAGAAGACATCAGATCCCCTGAAACAGGAGTTACTGACACTTGGGAGCTGCCACGTGGATGTTGGGAATCCAACAAGGGTCCTCTGAAAAAACAATCAGTATTCTTAACTGCTGAACCACCAGCCCAGCCCCTGCCATATGCTTTTTCTTGCCTGTATTTCTAGAAAATAAACCTGTGGAGTGGAAAGGCCAAAAGGTTGCCCCGAGACCTGGCAGCCCTCCTCTGGGATAAGCAGGTGCCTGGAAGGCTCACCTTGTCCTTTGTCACCTCTGACCACACAAACCAGGCTTGAACTCAGAGACCTGCCTACTTCTGCCCCCTGGGTGTTGGGATTCAGGGGTGCCACCACACCAGGCTCTGGCTGCTTTAAGAGCTCAAAGGTAAGCAGTGGAATGCTGGTGCCAGGTAGTGGTCCCTGAAAACCGACTTGCTGTGCGTTGCTTCCCAATACACTGAAGAGTGACAAGTTGGTGGCTTGAAATTGGTCACGGAGGGAGCATTTGTGCCTCTGAAATTACCAAGTGCTGCAAGTCAGTATCCTTTCCTCTGATTATTGCACGTTTACCTGCATACTCCTGCCCAGAAGAGATTAAATTGCTGAGTTTCAGATGAGTTAATAAGGAAATAATAAAATTTAGGTGGTCTCTGCTACTCAGCATTATACCAGCCATCCCCTGGCACCCATGTTTGTGGCCAGCTACACTGTGCCGCTACAGGAGCGGGAAGCAATTTTTTTCCCCCCAAGACAGAGTTTCTCTGTAGTTTTTGATGCCTGTCCTGGAACTAGCTCTTGTAGACCAGGCTGGCCTCGAACTCACAGAGATCCACCTGCCTCTGCCTCCTGAATGCTGGGATTAAAGGTGTGCACCACCACTACCCGGTGCAATTCTTATTTTTAAAATACATAACTTTTTATCTAAACACCTGTATCTGCAGTCACTCATTTGAAAGTACCACGGGTATTTTCTCAGCTGGAAGACGAAAATAGTTTATTCTAGAACTTACTAGCGGTTGGGTTGACTAGCTTTCTTACGATAAAAGAGCTAAGGCGGTGAAGAAGGAAGCAGAGACATCCTGACTTTAGTACACAACATTTAATCTCATTACTTTCCTAACAGAGGGTTTCGCAGTCCCCAGAGAGGACACAGAGCGCCCTTGGTAGGAGAGGATGAGATTAGTGGAAGAATCACAGGGCCAATGGTGTTAGCTAGGTAAAATAGGCTTGGACCAAGAACAGAAGAAATCATTCCTGACACCTTGTGGTAAGGGAGAATTCTCTATAGCTCAGCTCAAAGGAAATCTGCACCCAGAAGTGATTGATGGATGCAAATTCCACTTATTCAAAGAGTTAAAAGCAGGTAAGTATAAATACATTTACATGGCAAAGAACAAAGTTGTCCTGACTGGTTTTTTGGTTATTTGATTTTGAAGTGTATTATTTTTGTTTGTTTTGTTTTTTTGGTAAAAGCCCCACCATCATCAGTTACGTGTTACAAGTCTGGCAGCCTGTGTTTCTATGTTGAAATGCTTTTTTTCGTTTTGACAGATGCCTCTGCAATCTATTTTAGAAACAAAAGCACTCAGACTGCCAAAGAAAATTAACAGTGAATGGCACAGGCATGAATAATGCCAGTGCCAAATAGAAGCGCTACTACACACGTCCCCAGCTCTGCTGGCGTTCTCTTTGGGGGCTTTGTGACATGAGGGCTTCCTGAGCATTGTGGAATCACAGTTTAAGGACTTTTTGGTTGTTTCTACTTTCTAGCTATTGTGAATGTAGCAGCAACGAGTATGGCCAAGCAGGTATCTCTGAAGAACACTTGAATGTTCACCACCTTAGCCATCAGGGAAATGCAAGTCAAAACCACTTTGAGATTTCATCCTACACCCATCCGAATGCCTAGGATCAATTTTAAAAAAAGTGACAGCTCATACTGGCAAGGATGTGGAGTAACGGAAACATTCATCCATTGCTGGTAGGACTGCAAACTTGGACAACCACTATAGATGTCAATATGGCAGTTTTTCTGAAGATGGAGATCAGCCTACCTTAAGATCCACTCTTGTACATATACACAAAAGATGCTTCATCCTACCTCAGAGGCACTTGCTCAACCATGTTCATTGCTGCTCTATTCGAAATGGCCAGAAATTGGAAACAACCTAGATGTCCCTCAACAGATGGATGAATAAAGAAAATGTAAATTTACACAATGTTTTATTCAGCTGTGGACGCATGCCTTTAATCCCAGCACTCAGGAGGCAGAGACAGGTGGATCAACTGAATTCGAGGCCAGCCTGATCTATAGAGTGAGTACCAGGACAGCCAGGGCTATAGAGAAACCCTCTCTTGAGAAACCAAACAACGATAAATGAAATCTCATGAAAGTCACAGGGAAATGGATGGAATTATAAAAAGTCATCCTGAGTGAGGTAACCCAGGCACAGAAAAACAAACATGGTATTTGCTTATGTATGGATATTAGCTACACTAGTGATAACCAAGCTACAGAACAGAGAGGTTAGGTATAGAGTAAGGGACTGGGTGGGGAGGGGAGGGTGGAGCAGATAGAACTCTTAGGGAAAAGGAAAAAGGTAGTTTGGATGGATGGGGAAAAGCAGACTGGAAGAGGAGGGTCAGATGGGAAGGGGGGGAGAGGAGGATGAGGGAGGGCATACAGAGAGAGCTGAAATTTAAGGGCCATGTGAGGGGTACTATGGAGACATAATTAAATAGAGGTTTCCTAAAATATATACGTGTGACAGTGAGCCAAGTGAAATCACCAAATACTGAGGAGACAGAGTCTTCTTGTCACCAAATGAAGCTTCCAAAACCAGGGTCGGGTTACATCTAATTAAGTCGTCAGTCAAAGGGGTCCCATGGGAACTTTGCCCACAACCAAGGCTGTTGTCAAGACTGTAGGTTGCTCTCCACAAACTGATTGCAAGACCCCATTACTGAGGACAGCAGCTACGCAATTCACTGAACACGGTGGTTGTTATCAAGCCGTTGCCTACGTAGAACCTTCACCTCTGTATTCTAACGTCTTTGGTACAGGTACTCTGCAGGCTACCTAAGGAGAAACCTAGACACCAACCCAGTCACAAACCCTTTCTTTGATCTACAGTGCTGTCCTGTCTGCAAGATATCCTGGGGGGCACAAAGTTTGTGGGAGAAATCAACTAATATCTGATTTGATTTAAGGCCCACACCATGAGAAGGAATTCATACCTGACATTGCTTGGATGACCAAGAACTTGAGACCAGGGACCTAGGGTAAAACCAAATACTATTTAAAAAAAAAAAAAAAGCAATGAAATGACTCCTAATAAACAGTACCTTGTTCAGCCATCGTCGAAGAAGCTTCTTCAAACCCTCCTCTCAGGTCTCGGTGGACCCTGCAAAATAGGCAGAAAGAGTATGAGCCAGGGGGGCTGGAGGACACCAAGGAAATAACGCCTCTAATCCACGTGATCAGTGCACATTTGAACTCACAAAGGCTGAGACAGCACACATGGAGCCTGCACAGGTCTGCACCAGATGGGGTTTTAGAGTTGGAAGAAGTGGACACAGCCCCGTCCCTAATTCAGAAGTGATCTCTAACTGATAACCAGTTGCAAGTGAGAATTTAATTTTGTTCAAGCAAGTTTCACATAGACTGCATGCTTAACCATAAATGGCCAATAGAAAATGAACTCAATGACATCTTTAGAGGTTCCTTGCCGCATCATGTCAGGGTTTTTTTTTTTTTAAATTTTCGAGACAGGGTTTCTCCGTAGCTTTTTGGTTCCTGTCCTGAAACTAGCTCTTGTAGACCAGGCTGGCCTTGAGCTCTTCTATTTTTATCCTATTACTTTTTATTATATGTATTTTTTTTCTTCTCTCTTTTTACCCTTCAGGTCCTTTGTGTAAATGTTATGGATTCCAGTTTACTGTTTTTACAAGATTCCTGAATGTGTAAATGAGAAGGTCTCTCTCTTGTGTCTTTTCTTGGGTTCTTCATGTTTGTTTATTTTGTTCAGTTCTGATGTGTTAGTTTTTGTTTCATCTTATTATATTATAATCCCATTTAAAAAAGAAAAAGAGGGAGGCTGGAGAGATGGCTCAGCGGTTAAGAGCACTAGCTTCTCTTCCAGAGGTCCTTAGTTCAATTCCCAGCAACCACATGATGGTTCACAATTGTCTGTAACTCCAGCTCCAGGGGAGCTGGCATCCTCACAGACATGTATGCAGGTAAAAACACAATGCACATAAGATAAAAATAAATTATAAAAAAAGAAAAAGAAGTGATGCCTTTGGGGGGCAAAAAGGAGGCAGAGGGAGGGTGGA